GCATTTAAACAGCTGTAGCTTTTAAATTTTACTTATTACCAAAAAGTAGTATTAACACTTTTGTTAAGCGATAAACAATAAATCCATTAAGCCATATGGTAATTTATTGAGACTTTTCATTGAGGTGCTACATCCGTTTAAGTAAAAATTTGCTCAACTAGCCCCGCCCTACCCTACTATAACTTACCCTAAGGAAAGTCAATATAATGTTTATGTAATACCTTTGAATGTATATTTTTGACATCATATTTAAAAATTTTTGACATCACACGAATTCAGTATACTGTTAAGATATTATCATCGTTTGCGTCCATGAATGAACTGTTAATGAGCAACTAAGTTATTACATTAGCGTTGACATTGAGAGATTTGCTGAGTTCTATACAATATTAATAAGACTTCATTTCGTATTTGCTTTTTGCAAGTTTCCCAGCAGTTATAAAATAAATGCCCAAGAGAAAATCTTTGCTGAAGAAAAGTTTAATACGATGATTGATGGCTTTCTTAAATTTATATACGAATACAAATTGGTTTTAATATGAATTACAATCTAATAGGTACAATCTCTAGATAACAGTTTTATTATATGGCTATGGTTATGCTTTAAATTAGTATTTATATCTTAACATTTCTTGAAGCAGTTCTCGAAAGAGCCATTTTTACTTGGCAAAATATTATTGATACTGCATGCTCAAATAATCAAATTAAATTACTTACATTGTTAACACTAGATTCACAGATCAAGCCTAATTGATTTAATAAAAATTTGATAACTATAAAACTATAAACATTATACATGCAAGTATTGCGTTGATGTACTTAATGAAATGGTAGAAATGTTTATCATGAACTTTTTGATAATAAACATTTCATTTAAATTGCTTTGGATCAATTTTTTTATAAAAAAATCATTATTATGTATGAGCCAAATTGGCTAAATTCAGTAAAAATAGGTGTGTAATCAACATCCGTAAATCTAGTGTTAAAATAGTCACTAGTTAGGTATACTATTTACATGGCACTGTTTGAAAATAAATGTTTTTAGGTCAAAATATAAGTATGTTTGTGATGTTATTATATAGATTGATTCAGTTCGCTCACGAAAAACCTACATATAAGCTTATCAGATTTATAAAAAACATTGATCACATATTATCCGATCAGATAACAATGCTACATTAATTTTAATTGAACGAGGTATTCAATTTTAGATGGTATCTTAAGTTTACATTCGCAAACGTATTCTTCTCTAAGTAAGTTGCATCTGCGTGATTAAAAGCTTTACTTTATAATATTTTGCAGATTTTAATGAATACAGTTTATTCGATAGAGTAGAGCGGGTATAAAAATTTACCATCAATGTCTCAAAAACAAGTAAAGTTACAAATTTTTAAAAGCAGTATTTGAAAGTAGAGAGAAAAAGATTTGTAATCGGCCATCTCTTCAAATCAAGCAACTTCGCTATTATCAGCATAAGGAATATTCGACATGTTTGAAAATTTAGCAAAAGTATTTTCTTTGGCCGTTATTTTTTTTTGGTTGTTAGCAGGAAGTGTACGAAACCTCAATATAATTTTCAAGTGTGTGTACGATATTTAATTGTTTTAAAAGATGTATTGTTAATTTTAAGTTATATCCAACAGATGTATTTATATAACCCTTATAATTTAATTGTTTTAAAAGATGTATTGTTAATTTTAAGTTATATCCAACAGATGTATTTATATAACCCTTATAATAGCTTACAAGTCAGTGGAGTAAAAACTACCAACTACTCTGGCAAAGACGTAAACAATAAAAAAAGCAAATTGAAATGTAAATGTAAAAAGCAATTTCACAATAAATAAAATCACAATAAATTAATAGTTACTACAACTCTGTTAATGAATATTTCTTAAAAAATATCAGGTAAACTTTCTAAATAATATGCCATTAAAATTTGTATTTTGCATAGGTTGACTATTGCAGCTATTATTTCGTGAAATCTCCTTTAAAATTAAAAATAAAACATTGGATCTATTTGCCTCTTGGCTGTCCAATTTTATTCAGCATATAAGGTAAAAAGGGACAGATGACATATTTAAAAAAAATGATATAAAAGCACATTTTTATAATTATGAATTGACTGGCAATTTTTTTAAATATACTATAATAGTTGTAAGCGAAAACATGTTGTATGTTATTGCGATGCTGTTTATTCGGTTTAGACAGTATAATTACTTAAAATCAAATTGAACTTTTAAAAGTTCAATTGTGTTCCGCGCTATCCTAAGTTGTGTTTGTGATATTTTTTAGAATAGTAATTTTTTGGGTAGCTTACCACGCATCAATGTCGATTATTATGAGTTAACTCATATTTTAAAATGGTTTTGTAGTTGATAGAAATAGATACTATTATTGTCTATATTGAATAGAAGCAACTGAAATAAGTGTGCTGAGAAGTAGTAAAACAATTTATAAAACATAAGTTTTACTTAATAAGACAAATTTATAAAATTTTTAACATTAGTTACAAATTGTTTGATCATTATACTGAATTTAGTATAATTCAAATTAAATAATAAGAAATTTCACTTTACAAGAAGAGTGTTTCTCTTGCATTAATTATGAACGGTCAGTTTGCTTTATATAAAAAATGAAACTTGTTTCTGCAGGTTTCTGATGGAAAGCTCTATAACATTCAACGTATTTCCACTTCGCTTTGATAACTTTTTATTAAAATTTAGATATATAATATGTTAATGTGCAATATACCTGGCATCCGTAAATGTGAATAAATTCATGCTGCCGCTATATAGCACGGAGCAACACGTCCCGTATATAAATCCACCAATGAACGTCTTCAATACGGGCGTTTTAAACGTATAACTATCCTAACATTTTGCTAGGTATGATAAATGTTGCAGAGCGCAAACTCATTCAGAATAGGGAAATGCTTGAAGAAATCTCGAGACTTTAAGTAAAGTTAACTCCGAACTTATCTATCCACATTATCCATCTTTGGATTTTAGGTATATATAATTAATGTACTGAAATTAGTGAAGCGAGTGCATCCAATAACAAAGTTAGAGAGTTCTTGCTCTGACTGTAAACTATTATAAGTTTTATAGATTACTTACAATTAGTCACGATGACTCAGTTTCATTGACCTGTGATTTTAAAAAAAGTAATTAAAGCGGAATTATATAAATTACTTAAATTAACTGGGTTCGTAACAAAACGTAAATTTATTTTATTGCAAATCAGCACATCAGCGCAATTTTATCAATGTTTTATATATTTATAACAACTATGAAAAAGTAAAATTTTCTTAACCTCTAGTTATAAAGTTGTGTTTTTACTATTTGTCTAATATTTGTCACCTGTCTTTTTCTGCCCCATAGGCGCGATAAAAAGAGACATCCGTGTGGCAAACAGATTCAATGTCTGCAGATATTAAACATTGATCAGCAGAGGTCGAATAATTAATAATTTTCACCTGTCTTTTTCTGCTCCATAGGCGCGATAAAAAGAGACATCCGTGTGGCAAACAGATTCAATGTCTGCAGATTTGAAACATTGATCAGCAGAGGTCGAATAATTAATAATTTAATTTATTTCTTGTAAAATTGCTTTTCTATAACTTTTATATTCACTATTTCTTCTTGTTACATGTTACAAAACAATTAAAAAACGTATACCTAAAAGTTGTATATAGGTATCATAAACTAGACGAAGTGCTCAAAATAAAAAAACTGCTAACGAAAAAGTATACTTTTCGTATGAGTATTTATACATTTCCGTTTATCTCCTGATATCGATGTGGCAGGAATTAGGACGATGACTGGTAACACATCTCATGTCATCTACTTTAAAATAGTATCACTAAAAATACTATACGTACTTTGTTTGTTGAGATAATGATGGTGGCCCTTTTTACCCTTTTTATGGTCACTAAAAGTTCAGTTGCTGAGTTATTTAGTTTTTTCAGGTACAAGTTGCTTTTATGCGTATCAATTCATGCGAGATCCAAATTCGTGAAATGCCAAACCATAAAGCATCTGTATTTTATATTATATAAAAGATACTGTAGAAGAGACACCTGTCACAAAACATATGAGTGATGTACGTTTAGATGACATTAGTGTATATATTGTAAAAAAATGATTTTCAAAGCATGGGTGTTATAAAATATTTCGACCATTACACCAATATCATGAAAAATACATAACTGTAGTACGCGCCTAACTTAAATCTTATTAACATGCTTCATTTATATTTATATATTTATTGGCACATTTGTTCACATTTTATTACTTATTTTAATTGTAAGTATAAAATTATAAGATGGTAAAAGTGCATATAAATCATTAGTACCTACCTCGTAACATAATGTGAGCAGCCTTTAAATGATTAAGACGAATCAAAATTTATACGAGTTCATTATGAAATGTAAAGTCTTAAAATAGCAATTTACCATACAAACTACATAACAGTTTTTACCCTTTTCATTTGTAAGCTTTTATAGAGCTTAACTTTAATTCACAACACATCTTGTAAAACAATCTAATAACGTATAGTATTTGCTATCCACAATATCGAAAATATTGATAATAACATGAAAACTTTATTATATTATAGTTTTTATTGTAATTGTATTGTATTGGGTACTATATTTTTCAATAATAAACGCAAATAAAATTGTGATGGTTCTCAAATTCAAATAATTTGTTACTGATATAATATTGTGCTGAAAATGTGGGGATAAATAAACATTCATTTTATATCACTTATTAGAGCTATGATCTATCAATCTGCCTCATATAATAGCATAAAGCTTCTCATTCATAATCAGTTAAACATTGATCATTCAGACATAATTTAATCCACGATTATTCATATATTATTATATTATTTACTATATTATTAAACAAATTATATAACAAATATGAGAATACATACCATTTTATGAGAATTAATTTTACTTTATAAAATATCTATTAAATATATATATTTTCTAGGATACCGATGATAGTGATTTGCTGAAGGGTGCGGAGGGAAGTGGTCGTGTTGATTCGGAACATCTTCCACCGTTTCCTCCACCACCTCCGGGAGATGGTAGGTTATAATATTATATTACTTTTATATATATATATATATATATATATATATATATATATATATATATATATATATATATAAATCTGACTTGGTTCTAAATTCGTATATGCATTATTGCAAGAATTAGCAGCACGTTATTGTATGCATTTCATTACTTTGCATTATTTTATTTATTATCATTACCACTTCAATTATACCATTCTATAACTTTTATTTTTTTTCTATATCATACGTTTATTTATTTACTTACGAACTCAAAATATTTTGTGATAACGAGTTAATAATGCGAATATATTTTATAAAGTGATGTATTGAGAAAATAATTGGCAATCGATCGTGCAGAATATTATTATTTGCAAAAAATATATAGCGTAAGCAGCTTTTATCTTTACTTTTTGTTCGAATAATTATCTACTCGTACCCATTGTATACGATACGAACGTTGTTAATAATTTTACTGTAATATATAGCTATTTTTTTTTTTTGAATTTATATCACAAGTATTAATTAGTGTGTTATTACAGAGATGGATTGTATAGTGAAAATACAAAATAAAGTAAAATAGTAAGTTTTTTGGCTCGATGCAAATGATGATAACAAATTTTATTTGAAACTAAAACCAGATCTTGAGGTGTCCCCCGAATTACTAAATTACTTCTGAATAAATGCAGATTTGTACATATCATAACTTTTGAAAAAGTAAAAACACTTAACATTCATAAGTTTTAGACAATATCAAAAGCTTACTTATTATTATACTATTACAATAATTTAATATTCAACGTAGAAATATATTAAGTCATGAGATTCTTTTATCTTTCAATAATTGTGTTATTTATATAATTGTTAATTGTTATTCATAATAATTAGTTGTCAATTACACATAGAATTAACAATTATAATGTGTTTGATAACGCTCATTTAGAGTGGGTGAGTAAAGATATAATTTTTTTCAAAGATCTAATGAGTCATTTTTTTTTAAAAATTATAATCATATATTTATATATAATAATAATAATAATAATAATATATAAATATTCTTTGATTTAAAAGAAATTCATTATTTTTTTTAAACAGTTTATGTGTTTTTATTTTTGAAAATGATTTTGCATTTTATACACTTTATTTTTTGATGACCAAATCATTTGGATCTACTACTTTATTCTCTAAAAGTGCTGAACAAATATTTTTATCTAAACTTACATATATCAAATTATAATCATCAAATGTAAATATGTAAAAAAAAAATTCATTTACCCAAAAAATCTAATCGACTGATAAAACATTATCTCTAACATGATTAAAATCTGGTCATAGTTTTTTTATTGAAAAAATTATTTCATTACAAAACTTGTGGGCATAGCATTGTGCCTTAAGGCAGCTTGCTGAAACTTTGCATTCTGAAAACTAAAATTGTTAAAGAAGATTTTTGAAAAAGTTTGACTTTTTTGAAATATTTTTTTTTTATATTTCGAATTTTTTAAAAACTTTAAACATGTTTTTAAAGCAATCGCACTTATCTGTATTATATCGAAAAGCGTAAGCGCCGTGTCGTAGTCTAACGTTTAAACATTGGTACGGAACTCATGGAAATGTGCACTAATTTTTATTTATTATCATAATATTCATCAAATATCTGATAGTTTGATGTGCCTATGTCTAATGATCATTTTTGACCGCCAAATGGCATTATTTTTACTTTTTCTATTGGATCTCCGGAATTGCTAGACCTGCATTTTCAAAAATTTAACCAGATGTTCATTACGTCAATACAAGTAAAATGTTTTTGGACCTCAGTTCTCTCAAAAACTGAGTCACCATTTTTAGCATTTTTTGCAAAGTATCTTCGAAACGGTTAGACCTGCTTTGGCCAAAAACTAATCAAGTCTCCTTATCGATAGAAATCGAATGATTCTCGAAATCGTCGACGAAAAATTGTATCCGCACACACACATCCATCTTTTATAAAATATACCAAAATATTCAGAAACCTTTCAAACGTAAAGATAAATAAAAATTTTCATTCTTATTTTTTTGCGATTACTATAACTTACCCTAAGGAAAGTTATATAAAACATTATTTAATGTCTATTTTATCATTTTTAATAACTGTTTGGGTAATATATATTAATACATAACATAATTTTTATTATGTTATGTATTATATTAAGTACTATGATGTTTGTTATTATTCAGTTAATGAAAGCCAATCAATACTAATACCAATTTTATAAGGCTATATAAGCTATGAAATGTATTTTACATTTTCATTAATTGCATTTTATACCTCGAATACGGCATTGTCCCCCCAAGACATTTTGCGCCCCGAAGAAGAAAATCTACCCTGTAATTCCTCGCGGCGGAGATTTGCATACAGAATGGGTAACAAATTAGTATCGGGATAGTAATAGGAGAGATTGCGATCGCCTTGGTCAGGAGCTGACATCCGTTGCTTCCGAGTTGTAATTAGCAAAAGAGCACAGGGATTTGGAACACGACTCGCTAATCTTTTCCTTGAGCATAACTGAGTAGCATGGTCGTCCAACTATTCCATATGAATTACTTATTATGCACATTGCATTTTTGAATATAAAAACGGATTACTTCTGTTGCACTGAAATACATGACGAGAATAACTTAAACGCGAAATTTGTTTGAAGAGAAATATGACTTTAGTAATAAGAAATGTATTATTTTTACGCCATTTTTAAGACAGTTATGATGTTACGCAAATGAAAATTTTCAATAAATGTTGATATTTATAAGATCGGGTAGGGCGAGGCACAGATGTTTAATTTGACTTTGATCAATTATACTGTGAAATCCAAACCACTTATACCATAATAAATCACACATAGCAAATAAACAACTATCTGATAGCTACTGTCAAATATCAAATTTGTAACCATGTCCTTTTTATCTCATAGACGGGGTTCATACGGACGGCCAGGCGGCAAACAGGGCCAATGTCTTATTTTAATTTTGTAGGAGTTTTACAAAAAATAGCTAAACTATTCGTTTAATGCAAAATATGTTATGGGTGCATTTTTATAAAGATATAACTGTAAAGTCGTAAGAATTAAGGTGATGAATGATTATACCTCTTTTTTCTACTAAATTGCAATTCATAACTTCACTTGTTTTTGAAATACCGGTGACGAACCTTTTTACCAGCGAACTTCTAAGCCCCGTTCTACCCTATAATTTTATATTATATCAAAAATTATTCACATGTTTTAATATATAAAAAGCTAAATAATAAGCTATTCGGTTGGCAAATATTAAATATGTGCGGTTTCCAATTGAATGTTTATGTTTTTTGACATAGGTCAAATGCAAAATATCTTATTATTGGATAGTAGGCTAAATGTAAATCCGTATAAAAATTTGATTTATCAATTGCGCAGTTTTTATTTGGCGTTTATTGAAAGATGGAAAATCAAATTGAATTTTTTTGTTACATTTTATTTTTTATTTCTTCAAAGGTGAAAATGCATCTTGAGAAGTTATGATCACGAAGCCCTAATAAGAAGTTAGTGTCAAAATTAGTTTGCCAAGCTTTAATATGGTGATTTTTTGCTCAATGATGAAAAACGCTATTGTCGTTCGGTTGTAGTTGCTTATACAAAAATTACTTTTACACTTACCACCCAACCGAACAAAAATTCTGATGTCTACATTGAATAACTAACAAAGTTAAACACAATGTTTTGCCACATCCACCATATCGTGTAGTCGTTGCACCTTTTGATTACTTTCTTTTCTATCTAAACACAACTTTTTGAATGGTAAACATTGCAATGATTATGGTGGTGTAAAATTGTAACTGATTGACTTTTTTGTTGACGATTGAAGATGACAAAAAGTAATTGATCAAAATGAACAATGCAATACAGAATAAAGTTATTTAGTTCCAAGAAAAAAAAAGATTTTTTAATAGAAAACAACACTCACAATATTGCCAGTCTAATAATTTATCTGTTTTTTCATATTCTGCCGATTGGCGTTTATATAAATAATCAAATAAACACTATTTGATTTTTATTTTGTTCATTCAGTGGTAGCATTTTTAAGCCGTTCTTTTATTCTGCTGAGTTAGAATTGGACCCTCTCTACGTAAAATAAATATTTTTTTTGTATATCTACGGTTTCACCAATATTAGTGTTGATGAAATTGTAAAATTAATTATAACTACAACTAAAAATATTTAACATTATTTAGTGTGATATTACGAAAATGATATTGCCGAAAATTGCCATTAATGAACATATACATATCCACTTGCCTTATGAATATCCAATATAATTTTCATATGTCGACACATATATTTTGAAAAATATTATACAGTTGAAATACGATATTAACAAGTCTATAAAATTCTATTAGTCTATTAAAATTTCCAAGCAGCACAAATTTCCAAAATGTACATAATATAAAATTCTCATTAAAAACTATTTTTCAACTAACATACATAGAATATACAAATTATACGTATTTATTATTTTTTCTATTTTGGAATCTTGCTAGAATTAATTAATAAAATAAGTTACATTGTAATTCATATTAAAAAAAGTTATAAAAAGTTTGCAGTATATGCATGTATGTATTTATTTTATGTGAATCAAGAGCCTTATTTTATTAAAAAATATTATTTGTGAATATAACCATATTATTAACTTCCCGTAGGGTAAGTTATTGTAATGGGCCGAAAATCGGAATTGAAACTTTTTACATTTCTCGACGTTTTGAAGGTTTCTGAACACTTTGGCATACCTCAGAAAAAATGGATGTGTGTGTGTGTGTGTGTGTGTGTGTGTGAGTGTGTATGTATGTATGGATACAATTTTTCGTCCACGTTTTCGGGCGCACGGATCAACCGATTTGATTGGTTCAAAAAACATTCGATTCCTATTGATAGGGAAAAAAACTGATTAGTTTTTGGCAAAGGCAAGCCCACCCGTTTCGGAGATAAAGAGCAAAGAGTGCAGAAAATAGAAATCGACTTTTTGAGAGAACGGAGTATCCGATCTGAATGATCTAAAAAACATTCAATTAGTAATGACTGGAAGAAGTGTTTATTAGTTTTTGGCAAAGGCAGGCCCAGCCATGTCGAAGATACGGAGCTAAATGTGTAAGAAATGGCAGTTTTTGAGAGAACTAAGCGTCCGATTTAAATGATTCAAAAAACGTTTTGCTTGTTTTAACAAAATAATTGATTTTGGATTTTTTTTTTTTTTTTTTTAGTTTTTATTTGTATATCGAAAATAATTCAGATTTTATTTTTATTCTGACTAAAGTTCTAATATAACAAATAATTTTAAATTTGCAATTCAGTTTATATAATTCTTATAAATATTAGACAATGTTACAATATTCATAATAATCTATTTGAAAACATTCAGTATTCCTCGAATATTTCGTTACGGTACGGGAAGTTCCAGCAATTTGCCTTAAGGCACGATGCCACCCACCCCATTAGTTATGAATATATTTTGACTACAATACGTACTTTTGAAAAACCTCAATCCTTCACAAATAAAGTATGAAATCGGAAAATTCAAGATATCGTTGATGTTGAATAAATAATTGGAAATTTTCTTTTGAAACAGTGCGGAAGCGTCTTGGAAAAAACCTTTTCACTAAGCAATTAGGATGAATATATAAATAAGACCATATAAAATTAAAACCATTGTGAAAAAATGAATACACAAACTGATAACAATTTTTATTTCAGGATATCCTCGCGGTTTGAAAGGAGAGAAAGGCGATAGGGGACCAAGGGTAAGATAATTGCTGAAAAATTGTAATATATATATATATATATATATATATATATATATATATATATATATATATTGATGAGTTATTTAGAATCGGGCAGTAACACCAAGTAAAGAAAAAAAACTAAAGTAGTTTTTAAATACTTTATTTATCCATACGTTTCGGTCTTCATCGAGACCGTCATTCAGTGGAAAACTAAAAGATTTTATATGATGTAGGAGGCAATAATATAAAGTTATAACTTATATATAAGTACTTACAGAATTAATTGTACAAAAATACACTACACTATTACACTGTGATAAACCAGGCTATTAATAATTGGAACATTTAAACTAATTAATTTTTTAGACAATTTTTGCTTACATTCTAGTGTGTACAAATTGACTAACGTCTAAAAACTGAATGAATTGTGTTCACAATTTTTTTGAGAAAGTGTAAAAAAGACTGGCAGACATATGTTTTTTGTAAAATAATAAAATAATAAAAATACACGCTTCATTCAGATATGGTGGTGTTTTTGAAAATAGTCGAGAGTTATTTTATAGTCATTGCAAAGCGAATTGTTGTCAGTTCTTAAATTTATGGCTGTATCCTTGTGTAAAGATATTAAGCAACCTTCGCTAAATCGTCTTTTAAATAAATTATTTTCGAAATGTAGGATCATGGGATTGGAAAAATCAATGCTATGTTTGAGTTCATTGATATGATCTGTTAATTGTGTTTTATACTGATTTTTATTTTTTGAATTGTTTTTGTGTTGAGATGTTCTTTTGTGCAGGTTCTGACTAGTTTCACCTATGTAAACGCAATTACAATCTAGACAATTAAGCTTATAAACTAGATTACTTAAGATTCTTGGGTTAAATTTTGATTTTAATTTTGTAAAAAGAGTTGAAAAAGTATTTTCGGAAGTACAAACTACTCTAATATTATTTTTATTGAAAAGTTTTCTCCACGGGTAATATAATTCTTTGATGAAAGGTAAACTTATAGTTCCGACGTAGTTTTCAAGGTTTGGGTTATTAATTAAATTATTGTGACGGTTTTGGAGATATAAGATTCTATTTTTTGTTATGGATTGGATGAGGTGTTGTGGGTAGGAGTTTTTGGTTAGGATTTGTGAAATGAGAGAGAGATTCTTTCTTAAAAATTTACTGTGTGATAATAATAATACGTGGTCAATTAAGTTTATGATTGTGCCTATTTTGATAGAGAGGGGGTGGTAAGAGTGGTAATTAAGATAACGGCCTGAGTATGTTGGTTTGTGATACCAATCAGTTATTATATTATTATTTTCGCGGAAGAGTTGTACATCTAAGAAACTGATAGATTTATTATTTTCTAATTCATAAGTGAATTGTAGATGTTGGTTGTGGGCATTAAAAGAATTTACCAGAGTTGTTGTGTCACTGTTTGGTTTTCACCATATCTGTTGTTGTTTCACTTATTGGTTTTCACCATATCTGAATGAAGCGTGTATTTTTATTATTTTATTATTTTACAAAAAACATATGTCTGCCAGTCTTTTTTACACTTTCTCAAAAAAATTGTAAACACAATTCATTCAGTTTTTAGACGTTAGTCAATTTGTACACACTAGAATGTAAGCAAAAATTGTCTAAAAAATTAATTAGTTTAAATGTTCCAATTATTAATAGCCTGGTTTATCACAGTGTAATAGTGTAGTGTATTTTTGTATAATTAATTCTGTAAGTACTTATATATAAGTTATAACTTTATATTATTGCCTCCTACATCATATAAAATCTTTTAGTTTTCCACTGAATGACGGTCTCGATGAAGACCGAAACGTATGGATAAATAAAGTATTTAAAAACTACTTTAGTTTTTTTTCTTTACTTGGTGTTACTGCCCGATTCTAAATAACTCATCAAAATATATATCAACACCAAACTCACATATTTCAAAATATATATATATATATATATATATATATGTGTGTGTGTGTGTGTGTATTTATGAGTAAGTTTTTTGTGAAACAAAATTCTCATTATTTTTCATATTTACATAAAAAGAAAAAAATAAGGATTTTTGCCAACTTGTATCAATGTTAGTGCAAACTTTTGTGCCGTGTACGTGTACGCATCTTTAGTCGAAACGTTTGAAATTAAATATTAATTTATAAAAATTTGTTTTGTTGTATCGTCTTAAAAGAATATAATCATATATGTCAACATCAAAATTTTATATTATTTTTGTAATAGAAGTAAAATCCCAATAAATAACTAATAGTTTTTGAAAGTAACGTTCAATTTGAATGAACGAGTTACGTTTCATTAGCAGAATTTCAATCAGAAAATATAAGTTTATCAATAAATATGCCGCTGTTTCATAATTCTATGATATAATCAGATTCTTTGACTACATAATTTATATAATCAGTAAACTCAAATAAGGTATTTTAAGCTTCAAACAAGCATTCAAATTCATTTGTAATATGATTAGCCTAACAAGTGATTTTTCAATTATTTATTTTATTATCAGAACTAATGATGATGAGGAAAAGATCCAAGAAGATTTAAATCGTTCAACTCCTCTTTCGAATTTTATTCTAATGCAAAATATTGTGAATGATTTCATAATATGTAGTTTCAAGTCAGTTATCATTTTATTTAACAAATTCAATACTCAAAATATCTAAACGCTTCAGATCAGAATCTATAAAAAAAATTTAATTTAGGGTAGGGCGGGACACAAAGGTCCAATTTGACATATTATAGAGATTCTAATGATCAGTACAAATTGAAAATATGAAAAAATAATTCAAATTATTCAAAAATTTCAATTTTTTCTAATTCTAATTAAAATTTAAAAACTTTAAAAAAAAGAAAAAAATTGTACGGACGTTGCAGCAATTTATCTTAAGGCACGATGCTAATTATATAATTATGTTTTCATTAATTCATTGAAAGCCAATTATTTTTCAACCTGCCTATGAAATATAAAATTATTTGAAATATATGACATTTACAATAAATTTAGCAGCGCAGTTTAAATAAACAGCTACAAAGAGGGCAAGAAATTAAATTACAATAATAATGTTTGAAATTCCAAAGAAAAATTATAATTTAATAATTTCAGCAACCAGTTATATTCATTTCTGAATATAAATTATAAGTGGTATACACGCTTCGTGACTTAATTTGTTTTGTAACAAGTTCATTCGTATGCAAGTAGCCTTGTTTGAGTTGACTTTATATTTCTACTTATTTCAGAAAAGAACCTAATTGAACGTTGAAATGCAAACACATTGCCCAGAATATTAAATTTAGTCATTTCGCGTTATGTAGAAAAATTTATTTAAGTTTATCGTTCAATTATGCTTAATTAATTTTGGACTTTAAAAATAAATAGAAGTTTTAACTAATATATAGGGTAGAACAGGGCTTAAAGGTTCATCACCCATATTTCAAAAATAAGTAAAGTTAAGAACTTTCAACAACAATATTTGAGTTTTTGCCATCACTTTGATTCTTTACTCAAGGGTATCAGGATATATAAACAGCAATGTTTGAAAATCCACGACAAAAGTATTTTAATTTGTTGTTAGCTTTTTTGATTATGAGCATTGTAGTTTAGTTTACGAGACCTTAATATAAATCTTCAGTATACGTTATTTGTTTTTATTGTTAATTTTATGTAAGATTCAACAGATTTTTTGTATAACCTCTATAAAAGCTTACAGGTTGGGGTAAAAAAACCAACTGAACCTTTACCCTGGCAAAGGTGTAAAACAATAAAAAATAGTAAATAAAATAGTAAATGGAATAAAAAAAACAATTTCACAAGAGATAAATTAAATAAATGGTTATTCCAACTCTGCAGATAAATATTTCTGACAAAATGCTGTATCAAGGTTATCTCAACAGTGTTATCTCTGCAAAAAATGTACACTTGAAATTTATATTTTGCATTAGCTGAATAATGTAACTATTATTTTTTTATTTTATTCTATTTTTTTTAATTGAAAACAAGACATTGAACCTGTTTGGACCTGCAAATTACATACAACTTTAAATTGTCAACGTCCTATCACAAACCTTTCTTTTATAATAATCATTTCAGTAGTCCAATCATTTTTTATATAGATTGATAACTGCTCAATTATTGTCCTTTTGTGAACGTCTTTTTGTGATTATCAATATGCGCCATGAGCATGTATAAGTTGCATGCTTTGCAGTGGGTAAATCATTAATTTCACTTGTGTTAGTTCTTTCTTTCATTTGTATACCACATACAAGTGAAGCATTCTACATTCAAGTTTTACAATACCACATACAAGTTTTTACATTCATCATCAGTTAGTAATTTTTATACTAAAAATATTTTTTATTGCTAAACAACGACAGATAGTATACATCTATTTGTGCGTTAATATGCAATCAATAGTTATAATCTCCAATGTATAAAACGGAGCTTTCGTTTACATTAAATCGTTTCATCGCTAAAGTGCGTTCGACACATTGTTAATTGCTAATAACGCTTTAGTTACAAGTATTCCAATATATAACAAATTAACACAGATACAGTACAATATATTTTTTTGTTGGCGTCAATAGATTTTTTTTAATGGTAAAACACTCTTTTATTATGTATTAAATTCAAACATGAAATAAGTTAAACAAGATGAACATTTTTTCTAATTTATTAATTTTTTATTTCTTATATATATATATATATTTAACACAGTATACAATGTGCCTTACTTTATAGTTTTATACTTTAAAATATATTTTACTTTTAAACTCGTAACTCGTGTTTTACTAAATTTAGCATTAACATGAAAATGTATCTTTCATATTTTGTACTTATACACTGTTAGAACAACTTAGAAAATTTTATAAAATGCAATGAAATTTTTTTGTTTTGTTTTAATAAGTAATGGAAAAAATAAAATTATTTAGATGCAATGCGAGTGTATGCATTGTATTAAATGGAAAATTTAATTTGATTAATTTTAGATCGATTATACTCAC